TAATTAATATTATATATATATATATATATATATATATCATATATTAAGAAACAAGTTACAGTGACCTGGCAGATAAGTAGATTGTATCTTCGTGTGAGCGTGGCGTGCAGAGAAGTGGAAGAAGAAACTTATTTATGTTCGACAAAGTAAGTCATTGCATGTGTTAAGAGCATTGCATATTTCTTAATTATAAAATTCTAATCTGAGGCTTCCATCATTGATATCATTCTCTGCCAAAAGAATCACAAAATAAATAAGATAACATCGTCTGTATATAATTCACTAATTAAATAATAAAGAAATAAAGACTGAGAATTGGTCAACAAAGGAACAAAATAATTCGCAAGTGGGCAACTTGGTTTGATCTCAGAAAGAAAATGAAAATGAAAATGATGGGTTTTTTGCTCTTTTTTTTCTCGAAGAAAGGAAAATAAAGGTAAAGATACATTATTTATATTTTCATATAGTCATCTTTAAAAGAATAACTAGATATAAATAATACCGTGCAATACGGGGCTATATAATATAAATAAAAAATGTTAAGAATTTTTTTTATTAATTTATACTTTACGATATATATTTGATTGTATCTTTTTAATATATTAATTACATTTATTATTATATATATTAAAAAATTCAAATTTTTTAATGATGTAATGTCTAAAAATTAAATATATTCTGTAATTATATATATATATATATATAATAATTAATTAGGATTTATTAACTCTCTTAATAATATCACTTTTAGCAATGAAATTGCACAATTGGTTAGTTATTCAATTATGTTAATATTATAATGATAATATTTGTCTTTATAAAAGGAGTCAGTATTCATTCATCTAAAATTGGTTAGATATTTTTTATTTTACTTTCTTTGAATATCAGTTGTGAATTTAAATTAATTTTATAAAATTAACCTGTTGTTTATTTATATTTTTTTATTAATTTTATTTTTAATTGATGTGACCCCGTGAGGTTTGAGTACTTACGTCTAATATTATTAGTTTTGGTGTATGAATAATAAATGGTGGGTGATTATTTTTTATAATTGAGAGTAAGTGATACTTGAGTTTTTCCAACAAACTATCTTATATGTAATATTATGAAATTTAGTGTGAATAAACACTATATGAAATGTTACATATAATATAAAAAAAAATGTTACTATAAATACAATATATGTAAATATAAATTTATTTAACATATACATACACATAATTTTAGTGTGTTAATTTTGAATTAAATTTGATAATATAAATTGTGTATTACTATAATTTATATGTACTTATACTTATTAACAATAGATAAAAATAATTTTTAATGACAAATATTATACCATTATATAATACACTTATACAATCTTTATTTATTTTATCTCTAATTGATGTAAAATTTGTATGTTTTTCAATATACCTCCCTCGTCCCCTATTAGATAATCTCTAATCGCGGAGTAGATTTTCTTGGAAAATAAAGTAGAAAAAAAAGGTAGAAGAGTAAAATAAAAATAAAAATGAACAAAGCAGGAAAAAAATTATGGTAAATGGCATCACTATGATGTTATGTTAGGAAATATGATTGAGAGAGAAAAAAATGTGTAAAAAAAAAATGTTATATATTTTGATAAAATATAAAAAAGTGTTTTATTTACAATATGATTACAAGAGTAGTTATATTGGTCATTGGTTAATTAGTAATTACAAACCACATCTATAATGGATTGAACCTTGAATAGATATTTAAGAGGGAAAGTTTTCTACTAACGATGCCAAATTTCAGTGACAATGAGAGAAAGCGATGTCGTTTGTTTATGAGATCAAAGAAATTGTGGCCGGTGTTAATTTGAGTTGACGAAGAAGGTGACAAGCACTAGCGATAGATGGACAATTAATTCTTATACTTACTCGTAAACATCGCCTTAGTTTGGCCTAGTCTTCGTTTCGTTAGTCTTTCATGACAAAATCAAAGTCCTTGCTTATATCAAGGTTTTTTTTTTTTTTGGTTCGTCCAGTGACTAATCTTCTCGCTACGTTGGAGGCTGCATACACAAGGCAGGATTCAAACCTCTGACCTTACTTAAGCGTGGATCAACCCCTACCGCTGAACCACACGCTTATATTAACGTTTAGAAAGGGCAATAACTTTTCATAAAATTTTATATTATTTTGTTATAGAAAAAAATACTAATACAAGAATGAAAAAAATTTAAGGCTAAATCAATATATATCTAACTTTTTTTTTTAAAATAAAAAAGCTCGTTATTATATATAGCGTAGTTACTAGTCGATCGGATTCAGTCTCGTTATTATAAATAAGTTGCCTAATCCTGAATTTTAAGCATAAGTTTTTCATACAGTCATTAAATCAACATTTTTGTTAAATTATTAATTGTAGAAAGACTTAACACAGTTATGGGCATCTGCATCGTGAGATCTTATCTCCCCACGGATGCTACTAAGATCTTTGCGTGTTGGATGTATCACTGCAGGTCATGTTATTAAGAATCAGAGGGTTATAGAAACTTTGATGTTTCTGAATTTTTTTAATTAAAAATTAATATTATGATATAATTTTTAAACGTCATATGGTGAGACTTGTTTTTGAACATCATAAAATTGTTATAAAATTATCTGTTTTTGAACGTTATAAATTAACGTCATATATTAATATTATATTTTGAATGTTATGAAATTATTTTATAATATAATTTTATATATCAATACTTATATAAATAGGATCTATTGTATATTTTTATTCACCAACTTCTTAATTTTCTTCTTCTCTTTCACTCTTTATCTCTTAAAATTCTTTTTTAGGTCAATTTTATCTACTCTTAATTATTTGTTTGTTTTGATTTGTTTTACATTGTTGTAATTACATAGTTTTAGTTGGCTTCATCATTTTGAATAAAAATTAATTTAGTTAAATATGGTTTTATTTTTATTTTGTATTATTAAAAAATATTTTATAAAATAGTAGAACAAAAAATTATCTCTTAATTTATAACGATAAAAAATTAAGTTAATAAATAAATTATTAATGATATGTAAAACTGTAAGAATCTTGTGAGACTCATTTAAAAATTAAAAGAAAGATGTTGGATTGAAGAGAAAAATGTTTATAAAGATGTTTAAATTGAAAAGAGTAAGAAAGAGTGGTATCTACATATGATACATTTATATTGATTTTTTTAAGTTTGTAATAGTTGTATATATTTTTAAAATAAAAAAATTATTGTAATAAAATTTCACAAATTAAACACCGTCACTTTAAAAAAATTATAAAATTAAATTATAAACTCATTTTTGAAAGTAACTTTAGCTGTAAAGATTTTTTTTTGGTAAGTTTATATATATATTTTTTCTCTTTGATTGGCTTAACGTGATATAACAATCAAATTATTCAAAATCCACAAAATATATATATATATATATCAAATTTTTTAAAATTGGATTACTATTTTATTTTTGGAAAGCTGAAATTTTATTTTAAATGTACGAATATGTATAATTACTAAGGTTTTATGATGCTTTTTAATTATTAATTTATTACATTCTCTTTCGTTTATATATCACAATATTTTTGCCTTGAATTAATAGTATCAATCTATCAAACTCCAAGCGTATGGTTCAGTGGTAGGGGTTGATCCACGCTTAAGTAAGGTTAGGGGTTTGAATCCTGCCTTGTGTATGCAGTCGCGTTAAATCTTGGAGCCAGTTATCTCACTTTTTGAAATGCCTAATGAGAAGATTAGTCATTTTAGAAGTAACAACATACAATATATTAAGAGAATTTCACTTTTGTAAAAACTAGTCTTCTTCAAAATTTGATTGTATTAAGATTATTTCTCTCAATGTCATTTTTATCAAGACATAAAATCAAAATATTGAAACTTGAGAATCAATTTCAACATTAATTAGACCAACAAACATCAATAAATTAAAAATGGAAATTAATCAAAAATTAAAATAATTTATAAATAGTGAGATTCTTTTAGTAAGATTTTAAGTTTTAAATTTCACAGTAATAAAAAAATATTAAAAAGGTTTATCTCTTTAAATAAATTTACCTAATATTATACGTAAATTAATTAATCATAACTTCTAAACATGAGAGTTCAACATAGGAAAGATTTGGATCATATAGTTAAATTGACAAAGTCAACATACAAGTCAAGCAACCGAGTTATTTGGAGTCAATAACATGCAAGTCAAGAATAATTGGTAAATAACTAACTGTGTTCTGTAAACACATATTAAAGAATTTAACTTTCTGATCACGCATATAGAAAAAGAATTAATCTTTTTTTTTTTTTACATAAAGCATAAAATATCTTTAATAAAAACCTAAAAATAAATACTGCTAATTTGGCATATTGATCTCCTTCCATTATAAAACAATCAATCACCATGGAACCTCATAACACTACTCATCTCTAAGTCTCTCTCCAGAAGCACTTAAACAAGAACAGAAGCATGGACAGAGAAGAAGAAAAGATGCAACTTCTAGGGTTCTTTGGGGTTTACAAAGAATCCTACAAGCTCATATTTTCATGGAAGAAGATCTTCAGCCAGATAACCCTCACTCTCATCCTCCCTCTCTCCTTCATCTTCCTCATCCACATCCAAGTATCCAACACCCTCTTCGGCAAAATCGCACACGACACCGAGGACTTAACCGAAACCCCCCGTGACACACCCCAACACCAAAAGCTTCTCGACCTTATCTCCTCCGATTGGTCCACTTTCTTTCTCTTCAAACTCGTTTACTTCATTCTCCTCCTCATCTTCTCCCTCCTCTCCACCTCCGCGGTGGTTTACACCGTCGCTTCCTTCTACACCGCCAAAGAGGTTTCCTTCAACAAGGTCATGAGCGTCGTTCCCAGGGTCTGGAAGAGGCTCATGGTCACTTTCTTGTGCACCGTTGCTGCCTTCATCGTTTACAACGTTGTGGCAGGAGCGGTTACGCTCATGTTGGCTCTTACAATTGGTGTGAGAAACGTTGGTGCTGCGATTTTGTTGGTCATAGCGATTTTTTATCTAGTTGGGTTGGTTTACCTCACTGTGGTGTGGCTATTGGCCAGTGTTGTGACTGTGCTAGAGGATTCTTATGGGTATGAAGCGATGATGAAGAGTAAGGAGTTGATAAAGGGGAACATGGGTTTGTCCGTGATGATTGTTTTGAAGCTCAATGTTTCGTTCTTTCTGATACAGTTTTTGTTCACGATGGTGGTGGTGAATGGAGGGGAGTTGTTCAGCTTAGGGTCGATGGACAGAACAATATATGGGATTGTGTGTTTCTTGCTGTTGTCTCATTTGTTCTTGTTGATGCTTGTTATCCAAACTGTGCTCTATTTTGTTTGCAAGTCCTACCACCGTGAGATTGTTGACAAGTCTGCTTTGTCGGATCATCTTGAAGTGTACGAGTGCTATGAGCCACTGAAGACTAAGGATGTTAATCTTGATTACCATGTCTAATTGCTAGATATATATCAAACATAATGCATGTATCTGTATGGATCTTCAAATATATATGTTTACTGATTTATGGGTGTCTTAAGAAATGTATGTGAGAGAATAAATATGTTAATGAAGTGAAATCCAGCTAAGGACGCCTTTATGCAGCCTATATGGTATCTAGTTATTTCATGTATCTAAGCTTTAGTAATACTTATTTGGTGTTGATTCTTCGCATTGAACTAAATAATGGAGCTTTAACTAGTTAGTAAGGGTTAGTAGCGTGTATTTTGTGTCATGAGTTTTTTTTTTTCTCTTTAAATTAATATTTTGAACTCACTCTCCTCAATTCTCATTTGTTGTTACCACACACATATACATGTCTTCACATTGGTAAGATATTGTCCACTTTGGGTCTAACTCTCGGAGTTTTGCTTTTAGATACCACCCTTATGTCCATTCTCTTGTTTGAATGATGTGGAATTTTGCTTGTATCTCAACAATCCTCCCCTCAACAACTTTCACTGCTAAGAAGACTTTCGACACAAGGGATCCCAAACTGATCGGTGGCCCAAAGAGCTCACTCATGCTCTAAGTGTTTGCACCGCCGCTCCTACTAATCATCATACTCGTCGAGCTGGTCACTTGATCAGACCATTGATGGATATCCCAAACTTGGATCCACCTGTTAGCTATCATACTCGTTGAGCCGGTCACTTGATCAGACTATAGGCACCGATACCACTTGTTGTGCATTGGGGGTTACCACAAACATACACATGTCTCCATATTGTTAAGATATTAGTTGTTTTGGGCCCAGCCCTAATGGTTTTGTTTTTGGATGCCACCCAAAAAGTCTCTCATTTAACGAAGACTACTGTGTGTATATAAACTCATGTCCAACTTTTTATTTGAATGATGTGAGACTTTGCTTGCATCCTAACATTTATCTTGTATTTTTTTTAGTTTTATGTTATATTTTAGCCTTTTCGATTCACTTTTCATTCCTAATAATTATTTTTTATATAATATTTTTATCTTGATTTATACATATACACAGAGTCAAGATCTATTGACATTATGGTGTCAAACTAATTAAATGACACTTTTAATAATTTTTTTATTAATATAAATTAGGGTTGTTCAAAAAAACTAAAAGAACCAAATTGAATTCAAAACCAGACCAAACCATTTAAAAATAACTGGAACCAATTATAATAAAATTGAACCGGATTTAATTTTTAAAATAAAACTTAAAAACTGAACCTATTTTTTTAACAAGATTTGTTCAGGTTCACGGAACACTCAAATCTCACTCACTCTATCTCGTAGTCTCGCACGTCACGACGCACAACAAATAAACCAAAGCCCCAAATTGCTCAGCCTAGGAAATCTCCTGACTGAGTTCATTGTCAAGGGCAAGAATCAGATGCAAGTAACAGAATTAGAATTCTGGCAAGTTGTGAATCCTCTCTTCAGGCTTGGGTGGAAGCACTGGATTGGTGCAGCTGTTTTCATATGGGGTTGGATTCATCAACTCCAGTGCCATAAGATTCTTGTATGCATCATGTACTTGATTGACATCTAAATCTTTGGTTTGATCAGTAAAACACGGCTTCATAACTTCTAGTTTCAATCATTTATATCTTCATGGCTTCTAATTGTTATTTATTTCATATCATATCACTAATATTATATTATATAATATTAATGGTACCGAGACGCAGTAGATGGTGAATTTGGTCGCAGAAATTCCTGTAAGCATTGATACAGAGAAAAAACCCTGTTTTAAAACTGCTTTATTTCTTAAAATTGGTTCAAAAACTAGTTTAGTTATGAAACTAGTTTTAAACTGATTATAAACTTGTTTATTAAAGTAGTTCAATTTTAAAATGGTTTGTTAAAGTAGTTCACATAATTTATAAATCAGTTCATTTTATTAAAATGGTGTGGTGCAATTCGGTACAATTTTTTTAAAAAAACTAAACCATGCACACACCTAATATAAATTTAGTCGATTCAACATTTTGTATTTGATAATATTACACTTTTGATCATGTATATCAAATTTCAAATGACTTGTATTCTTTTAGATATGTTATCTAACAATATATATTTACATTTATTTTAAATATCATTTTACACCTTAAAATAAAAATGATATTATGATCAATCAAATAATTTTATAATTTGATTGATATAATTAATAATATCATCAAATATAATGATTAAAATGATTGAATTTGTATTTAATAAAAATTATTAAAAATGTCATTTTACTAATTTAATATTATAATATCAATGAATCATAATTATATATATATATATATTATTTTATTATTTTTTAAATAAATTATCCCTACTAACTCAAGATCCTTCTCGTCCGAATCAGAATGTGAAGGTTGAGATATAACATGTCTGTAAAGATAAATTGAAGGTCATGTTTTTTATCAAGAATGGATATTTATTCCCTAAGAGAAAAGATGAGGAAGGTTCAAAATTTAGTGTTTCCCAAATTCCTTAATTTGGATGGTCTCATGTTATAAGAGTTTAGTTTTTGGGCCTTATAAATAGGCATGGGTTGGGTCAGGTCAGGAATAGTTTAACTCTTAAGAATCGGTTATTTTGTGTTTCGTGTTTGGAAATTGGAAGAATATCTATATTTGATGTATAAACTATATGACATATATTAGGCAAATACAATTATAAAGAATAATGATTAAATATATTTTAAATCCTTGTAAATAAGATATATAGTATTTGTTTTAAGTCTCTTGAATATATACAAAATTGCCTCTTTTTAATCCTTTATTTATTAAAATGTGATGTTCTTTGTCTTTCATAAAAAAAATGTCCTTTTCTGTTGAATAAAAGATTATATTATTTTAATTCTTCATTTATAAAAATAAGGATCACATATGATACATTTCTATGAATGAGAAATCAAACAAGGACAATTTATTTTAAAAAAATATTATTATATTTAATGGAGTATAAAAATATATTTAACTAAAAAAATAATCAGTTTTCATCGTAATAATCGTCGGTGAGAGAAAGTGTCGTTCCATAAATATGAGACCAAAGAAATTGTTTCTAGAAGTTTGAGTTTAGGAACGACCAGACAAACCCTTAGTTTGGTGTGGGAATGAATCAGCAGGATTATTCTTATACTTAATTACTAGTAATCTTCGCCGCAGTTTGGCATATTCTTAGCTTTCACTTTGTTTATCATTCCATTTTTTAGTTTTTCGAAAGATGAATTTTCACTTAATTGCACAGTATACAGTAACTGCTAATTAACATTATGACGCTTATTAATTATTAATTTATTACGTTCGCTTTCATATATATGACGCACTTGGTATTTTTGGTATATTGAATACTATTACGTGTAGGCATGGCCATGGGGCGGGGTGGGTTTTAAGTTTCTCGCTCCTGTCCCCTCAAATTTAAACTGCCCTCGCTGCCACTCCCGATATTCGTTAGGGTAAAATCTGGGTTCTCATCCCTGTTCCCGGCAGGGTTTGAGTTTTCCCGCCCCACCCTCGCCCTCGCTCCTGCCCCGTGCATTGGACTAAGAACATTACTCTTGCGAAAAAGATTATAAAATTCCTTTGTATTCACACACACATATTCAACTCCCCCTTCTATGTGTTTTTTCGCTAACTTCAGTAGTCAGCATTCAAACACAAACAAGGCATATATCAACAAAACATAAGCATACTGATCATATAACATATTTCATTCATTCACAATGTAACAACTAAATACAACATAACATTAAGATGCACTATGTAGTGGATATGAACTACATGTTTTAATGCATATGGTGCTAATAAAAACATCACATATCATACTTGTGCATTGTCATTAGCAATACACATAAAGTAACCTAGGGGTATATGTCGAGTCACACCCATAACCACTCTCATCATGCTCAATGCGAAATCTTATAGAAATAGTGACAAATGGCACTTGACATGATCCATTCGATGCCTAGTGTGATATTGGTTCATGAAAGACTTGTAGGATATATGAAAATTGCACATTACAAATCCCAAACTCTAAAACTCCAATCCAATTGTTAAAAATCATTATCAAATCTTAATATTACTTTATTATATCATCAATTACTCAAATCTATCATGAATTTCACATTCTAATTACATACTCCTATTAACTACTCACACAAGAACCATCTAGGATTCCTATAAGACTCCATAAACAATTCAAACTTCATAATTATAGGTTCAATCACGAAATTGGAGACATATAACTACACAACATCAAATAAAACAATAAGGAATCATATACAAGACCAAAAATACATGATGTAGTCAATTGAAAAAATCTTTTTCATACAATTCAAGCAATAAAGAAGGGATTAGGGGTCAATCCCACTATTAAACATACATCTCATGCCTAAAGCGAGATTACTCACTCCCACTTACCTCGATGATGAACGTTTGATGAATGATGTGGATTTATGAGTTGCTCTCCTATGTATTTTGGTTCTTCTTCCCATTCTTTAGAGTGTATGCAAAATATGAAAAATGAGAAGTGTAACATAAAAACCTATTGTAATATCCATTTTAAAAACCTAACCCTTTAGTAAATATATATGAATCATGATTATCTTTTCCTTTCCCTAAAATATTAAAATTTATAAATAAATAAATAATACATCAAATAAACACATTTTTCAACCCAAATAATTATAACAAAATACAATAATTAGTAATTAACAAATATAATATATAAAATGTATATTTTTCCTAACACATTTATATTAAAATAAAATATAAATAATTATAATAAAAATACATATTTTTCTTAAAATACTTATTGTCACAAAATATCATAAAAATACATATTTTTTAATAAATATTATGCAAAATATATTATTTTTTTATAAAAAAAATATATCCCTAAAATAGTAGTGGTACAAGTTCCTCCATTATTATGCATATAGATTTGTTCATATATATATATATAGAACCCCCTAACAAAGGCCCAACTATTTGGGTGGAATTGGGTCGGGGCTACGTTCAAGGCCCTAAGCACTCCCTTTTCGCACTCGGTAAGAGGCCACCTAACCTTAAGTTTAGCAACTAAGGTAACATAACAAAAGGTAAAACGTTCCGAGGCGGAACTTATACACATTGGCTCTTTATCCACACAAGGCTCACAAACTCCCCCGCCCCCGCTCCTATTTTTTCTTCTTCTTTTTTTCTTTTAAATAAATATGAATAATTTTAAAAAAAATAAAAGAAAAGTAAAATAATATAAATTTTTACATATAAATATTTTTAATTTTGGTTTATATATATATAAAAATAATTTTTTAATTATATTATTAAGCGGGGCGGGGACGGAGGCGGGTATGAGGGCGAGGGCGAGTATTAACATTCTCGTTCCTGCCCTTGCCTCCAATTTTATCAGTTAGGGAAAACCCGAACTCGAACCCGATAAACACAGGTTTTTCCTGTTTAAATCGGGGCAGGTTCGAGCTAATACCCACTAGACGGGTTAGATTGTCATGCCTAATCACGCTTATGATGTAAATTGTTATCGCAAATGAGCACAAGAATTTATAAAGAGAGGTAAATTGTTCACAAGTATGAATATTTCTTACTTCGTTGATTGTCATATTTTAAGTTTCGACCAAATTTTGTAAATAAAAACTGATAGTAAAGGAGTTTTACTTCTTCAAATAAATTAAGTTGTACATACTAATTTAGGCAATATATTATATATATATATATATATATATATATATATAGTTTTACGCCTTCAAAAAATTTACATGATATAAATTAATAAAAAAAAAATTAAAATTACTTTGTAAGAGTCTCAAAAGAGGAAAAATATAATTCTCAATTTCAAGATTTGGATTAATTAAAAGCCCTATAATAAAAGTAAATGATGTATATATATATATATCAATAGAATTGTTCATATTATTATGAACTAATAAGGAAAAGAAGTATTTCATACTTCTTAATTTTAAAAATTATAAAAATAAAAATAAATAAATTGAATGATCATAATTGTAAATGATTACTTAAAAAATAGTGATTATTTTTATTTATTTATTTTTAACAAATAAAGAATATAATGATCCATTAAAATGGAAATAAAAAACAGTTATACACTTTATATTTCTTTTATAATAAATAATAGATAAAAAATTCTGAAATAATTAATATTATGGTGAGATAGTAAATAAACATAATTGAATAATTTTGCATAGAAGTTATTGGGCATGTTGATCTCCTTCCTTTATAAAATAGTCAGCTTGGCCTAAAACCCACACCTGTTCATACCATTGAAGATAAAAAGTTGGAAAGCATGGAAGCAGAGGAAGAAAAGATGCAATTTCTTGGGTTCTTTGGCGTCTACAAAGAATCCTACAAAATCATATTTTCATACAGGAAGATCTTCACCCGTATCACCTTCACTCTTTTCTTCCTTCTCTCAATCTTCTTCCTCACTCGCATCCTAGTAACCCAAGTCCTCTTCGCCAAAAATGAACACGATTCCGAGGATTTAACCCAACCCCAACACCAAAGCCTCCTTTACATGATCTCTGATTGCCCCACTTTCTTTCTTATCCTTCTCTTTTTCTCCCTCTTTTCCACCTCCGAGGTCGTTTACAACGTCGCTTCCTTCTACACCGCCAAAGAGGTAACCTTCTATAACGTTATAACCCTTGTCGACCTTGAAGTTTGGAAGAGGCTTGTGGCCACTTTTTTGTGCACCACTGTTGCTTTCTTCGTTATCAACGTTTTGGCCGCGCTAGTTGCAGCCATGTGGGGAGTTACAATTGGAGAAAGTAGTGGTAGCGTTGCAATTCTTGTGTTCATAGTCGTTGTGACCTTATATTTGGGTGGGTATGTTTACCTCACTGCGGTTTGGCTATTGGCTAGTGTTGTGACCACGTTGGAAGGTTCGTATGGGTTTGAAGCCATGGTGAAGAGTAAGGAATTGATAAAGGGGAAGATGGGTTTGTCCATAATGATTGCGCTGAAGCTCAACGTTTTGTTCTTTTTGATACTGTTGATCACCATGGTGGTGGTGAACGGATGGGAGCTGTTTGGTTTAGGGTTGATGGCGAGAACTGCGTTTGCGATTGTGTGTTTCTTGGTGTTGTCTCATTTGTTGCTGTTGATGCTTGTTATCCAAACTGTGCTCTATTTCGTTTGCAAGTCCTACCACCACGAGATTGTTGACATGTCTGCTTCGCTACATCATCTGGAAGTGAATGGAAGAGAAGACTATGAGAAGTTGGAGGCTAAAGATGATCAGCAAGACTATGTGGTCTAATAGCTATAGCAAGATATAAAACATCATGTATATCTTATATATATATATAGATAGATGTTTTGAAGATATATAATGATGCTTAGAATTAAGAAGATATCATAAAGCAAAACATTTGCATGATGCATCCAACACACTACAAGACAAGAAGACGATGTTCAAAACAATTTATTTCAAGTTCCTTATAAGCTCTCGAGACATCTCAAGAAATTTACTCTACAAAATCTGCAACAAAAATATAGAAATTTATAAATGGTGCAACCACATAGCAATAGAACCTAAGAACTTTGAAGGTGTAGCATAACCAAATCATTTAGATTTTAGAATTAATGGCCGGGTGAATGCAGTGAACGAATAAAAGTTGATTGAGAATGATAACACATGGGAGCTTCGAGATAGATCCAGAGAAAAAGAAATCATTGGTGTCAAACGCATCTACAAGATAAAATTCAATCAAATGGGTTGTCATAATACAGAAGTAGAAGGCAGGCTCGTAGTTAAGAGATATTATCAAGTACTTGGTGTTAACTACAAAAAGACATTTGCTGCAAATGCTTGACTTAATATTATTAGAGATTTATAATTGCTCTGTTGACTCAAAAAGGTCAGTGGCTCTATCAGCTAGATGTAAAGCGAAGTTGATGTAAATTTCAAGCTTGATTATATGTAAAATATCCTAGAGCAGTCTTGTAAACTTTTAGTAAAAGATTAGAATACTGATGCGGATTGTAATAATTAGATAAATATAGAAACTAATGCCTAGAAAATTCTAGAACCATAGGTGAAACAATTAACTAACTTTAAGAGTCTATAAATAGGTCATTTGCTATTGATTGTAAATCAAGCTATACTCCTTCAATCAACTATCTTTCTATTTCTACATCTACTATTCTCTATTAGTTTTGAAAGCTTATCAAAGTAATACCTACTTTTCTTACAAATGAGTGTCATGTATACACTTCAATATCCCACCATTCCTCTGTTTTCTATTAGTTTTGAATGCTAATCAAAGTAATACCTACTTTTCTTACAAATGAGTGTCATGTATACACTTCAATATCCCACCATTCTTCTGTTTTAAATTTTATCAGTGGTATCATAACTATGTTTGGTCATCTATTGGGTATACATGTATTTTTCAATACTTCTAAAATATTCAACTATATTCGACAATTCTTTTAAAATATTTTCTCAACCTATGGTTACTACCAATCAACCATCATCTATCTTAATCCCTATTTTTCCAGGAAAAAACTATAATTTTTGGAGTATCAAAATAAAGACATTTTTCTCTTAAGATTTATGGGATATTATAAAAAATGAGTTCATTATTTCAAAAGACATCTCAACTCTTACTGCAACTCAAGGAGTTGAAGGAAAATAAGTAGAAGAATTTGAAGGCATTACTTGTTCTTCAACAAGCAGTTGCTGACATAATATTTTCAAGAATCATGGGTGTCACAAGTGTAAAAAAAAACCTAGAACAAACTACAAAATGAGTTTCAAAGAAGTGGCGAGTTCGAGGTACATAATGTTAAACTTCAATCTTTAAGACAAGAGTTTGAAATAATAAAAATGAAAGAGTCTGAGGTTATAAAAAAACTATTATTCTAGAATTAAAAAAAAATAGATGGTCAAATGAGAGCCTTTGGAAAAAATATTCTTGACAAAAAAAATGTTGAAGATTTTTAACTTCTATTTCCCATAAATATGATGCAATTGCAATTACGATTGAACAAATTAAAGATTGTCTACATTATCAGTAACATAACTAGTAGACTCTTTGAAGCCAATGAACAAAGATTGAAAAAATGTGAAGAAGACTGTCAAAAATACATTTTAAATATAATGCTCAAATTATGGTCTCAAAATAAAGAATATGAAGAAAATAAAAATAGTGGAAAAGTTCTAAAAATAAAGAAAATTTTATAAGTTTCTCTAAGACTAGTCAAGGAAAATATCTTTCATGTGACATTTGTAAGAACATAAGTCACTTGGAAAAATGTTGTTGGCATCATGGAAAACCTCAATGTCAAAATTGCAAGAAATTCATACATGTGGAGAAAAATTGCCGCAACAAACAAATTTTGTCAAAAAGAAAGACAATGAACAATATCTATTTTATGCTACATGATATTCTAATAACGAAACGAAAGGAAGAGATAGAAAATGCAGTAATCACATGGATAATGATCAGAGCATCTTCAAAGAAAGTGATGACCTTATCAAAGTTCAAGTACTATTGGGAAATGCCCCCATGGTAGAGTAACAAGGAAAAGGCTCTGTCATGGTAGAGACTAAGAAAGGTATGAGACTCATTAATGGCATCCTACTTGTTCCCAATCTTTAAAAATTCTCTTGAGCATTGGTCAAATGATGAAGAAATGCTACACTTTTCATTTTAAAAGAGACACATGCATTATCTAAGATAACAAAAGGTGGGAAATAACCCAAATTAAAATAGAGAAAGGAAACTTAGATTTTTTTGATAAATTTCCAATATGGTACATATTTTGCTGAGTGCAAATAAATGATTCATGGCTCTGGCATCAAAGATTTGACCACTACAATACTCAAGTCTTAAAGCTGCTATACAAAAAGAATATGAAGAGAGATCTTCCAACTTTGAAAGAAAATAATGAAGCCTATAAAGAATGTCTTCTTGGAAAACAACACAAACTATCATTTTTTACTAGAAAAGCTTGGAGGGAAAAAGACTTGCTAGAGTTAATCCACGTTGACATTTGTGGACCACTGAGAACACTATCATTTCAAAAATAACTAGTATTTTATCCTCTTTAGTTAAGAATTTTTTAGAATTATATAAGTCCACTTCATTATAGAAAAATTAGAATTCGTTGGAATACTCAAGATGTTTAAAGCCCTTGTGGAAAAAGCAAAGTGAAAAATATTTAAAAGTACTTATAAATGATCGAGATAAATAATACAATTTATGACTTCAATAAGTTTTGTAAAGATGAAGGCTTTGAGTGACAACCTTCAACCGCATATTCTCCACACAAAAATGGTGTCTCTAAGAGAATTAGTCACACAATCATAGAGATGGCTAAATCAATGACAAAGGATAAAGGTCCATACTACACATTTTAGGCTGAGGGAATTTTCATTACTATCTACATACTAAGCAGATGTTCAACTAAAGTAGTTCAAGATAAAACTCTTATTAAAGCTTGGAGTGGGAGAAAACCATCAGCTAAACACCTATAAGTATTTGGATCTATTTTCTACAAACATGTCTAATCAAAAGAGGCACAAGATAGAATACAAGATTGCATGAGGAATCTCCTTAGGATAACACGCAATCAAAAAGTTATTAAGTCTACAACTTGCAAATAAAGAAGCTCACCATCAACAGAGATGTTGAGGTTGATGAAAATGCTTCTTGGAATTAGGAAGAATATAGTTGTTAAAATTAACATTTCCATTCCACTACAACAATCTCAGAAAAAAAAAAAAGTTTGAGAAATGACGAGATATCTAAACATATATAAAACTTGCAATACAAATTATGCTTGAGCCAAATAAAGCTATGAAGAATCATCAAAGAAATGGAGAAAACAAAGAAAAATTTGCTTGAGTGTTGCAAGACAAAAGTCTAAATAGCATATGAATTTATGAAGGCAATACCAAACAACAAAGTTTGAGCAACCACAAACTTGGAGTTTTTGAAATTTACATCAAGGAGTGTTGATTTAAATTTCTAGAATATATGTAAAATATCCAAGAACATTCTTGTAAACTTGTAGTAAAGTTTAGAATACTAATCCAGAATATAATAATTAGATAAATCTAAAACTAATGCCTAGAAAACTCAATAACCATGGGTGAAAGAATTTACTGACTTTAAGAGCCTATAAACAAGCCACTTGTTGATTGTAAATCAAGCTAAACTCCACCAATCAACTATCCTTTTATTTCTACATTTACTATTGTCTATCAATTTAACAAACTTATTAAAGCAATACTTACTTTTCTTAGAAATTTGTGTTCTATATCCTTTAATATATATCCCACTATTCCTTTGTTCTAAATTTTATCAAAAGCCAACATCCCTAAGTGATGTTCTTAAAGAAGAAATATATGTAGAGGAACTACTATTCTATCAAAAGCTAACATCCTTAAATGATGTTCTTAAGAAGAAATATATGTAGAGGAACTACAAGTGTTCATGATGAAAGAAAAAAAAAAGACAAAGTGTTAAAGTTAAAGAAAGTCCTCCATCATCATCTAAGGATTTAGGATGAGGAAAGGAAATTCAAATACTCATAGTTTCTCTTTGTATGGATGAAGATCTTATCGACCAAAATCACGAGAAAATGATTACAGAGTTTAAAGGAGACATGATGAAGTACTAATTGATATTTTACTAAATTACTAACAAAAACTAAGATTCGAGATATTTTTTGAATCAAAATATGCATTAATGAGTATTATAAATGCGATAGACATTTTAGATAAAATTAAAAGTTGGTATTTTAGTAAAGGAAAAAATACTGATAAAATTTAATTTAAAAGAGTGATATTTTATTGATGATAAATAATAATATAAAGGTAAATTAAACGAAAATATGATATATCTTTGAGATATATTAAAATTATCTTATTTTTTAATATAATAAAACATATTTTTTTAAAATTTATTATATATTTATTTTTATATAATATACACATTTTAAAATTTTTAACATAATCTACTCTTATTTTTCATTTATTCTAGAGTCCAACACAAGTACCAATACATTTAAGGAATTAAATACATTATATATGATTGAGAACAATTGTTTTGTGTTTTATGTTAATAATAGAAAGAGACATCAAATAATATATTTTAGTTCTATGTATAATGCACTTTAATGTTATTTCTATGTATGGTTGGATTAATTTTGATATTTTCCTACTCGATAATAGTTAAAAAATATAATATGTTAATGGAGTTTCTGCCGGTTTAATGAGAATAGTTATTGATATAGGTGCCATTTGGA